CAAATTAAATGAACATGGCTTTTCAAAATACAATTGGCATCACACCTTTCGAGAAAAATGAATTTGATTTAGTTGGCCTAACACAGATCCATCTGATCTTATTAGTCCGGTTCAATCAAATTTCCAACATTAAATGTTTTTTTTTTGTGTGTTTCCCTTTGGTTTTGATAATTGAACCCTCTTATATTGTAGGTTTCAAGAGGAAGAGGGTGATAAATGGCAGCAACAAGACCTACTGTCAAAGTTCAAGATGAAGCTAATGACATCTCATGAGGTGCTTTTTGAGTCGTATGTTTTTTTCTCCATAAAGGAATTATCAGAGACTATAACCCGCTTCTTGAGATTGAGTCTTTTATCTTGGTAAACCACAAGAAGATGAAGAAATTATCCAAGGGCCCGATGAAGTTGGCCATCAAAGCCAAAGAGTTGCTATTTGTTTTGTTTCCTAGAGCTTACCTTGATGATGGTGAGTTTGGAGGGAAACAAACTTCAACTTTGAAGATGTTTTGGATGTCTTGTATGGATTCTTCTGGGCACATGAAGATTATCGTGCGGGTCTTTCCATAGCATTCAACAAGTTTTGCATTGCCCTTCTTCAGCTGACAGAAAGTGCACCTGCTGCAGATGTTGTTGCAATGACTGATAGGTAATCTTTTATCTACTTCCTTGTACTGAACTGATTAATTTTCTTACTCTAATTAAGGACATGTTTGTTCCTTAGGTTTACTGAGACAGCTCCAACAATCAACGTCAAGCGTACGTTGATGACTACATATTTACACATGTTTTACCCCTCATTCCTTGATTGTTTAGCTTGGTGTTTATCCTACTTTGGCCTATTATACGCTAGGTTGTGTTCATTTGTCACATCTCAGGTCCTAGCATATAAAGTGAAGCCTAGGCGCAAGTTTCAAGTTAATCGGAGATCAATTGGCGACTCGAGGGGAGAAACTCGGGAACGACTTGAGGAAGAATGGATTTATACCTCATTTTATTGACAAAGAATCATGTAATCTTGTCATGAAAATAAATAGGATGAGACTATGAGCATTTGGGATCAAACGACACCTGAATCGGAGGTCAAACGAGCTCAACGAAGCTTAGGAGTGCATGCTAAAAATTGTGCACGGTCGTGTAAAATTGTGCACGGCCGTGTGAGTTTTCTAGGGGGTTTGCACGGCCGTGCAAGTAGGGGGTGCGAATCTCAGCCGGTAGAAAAGTTGTTTTGCGATTTTTGGAGAGGGAGAGCTGGGTTTTGGATCCCAAACACCCAAGGGATGAACCCTAGAGAGAGAGAGAGAGAGCGACTTGGGATCATTCTTGGAGCGATTTTGGAGGACTTTTTCACCATTGGAGCTCGAGAATCAAGCTTGGAGATGGAGATTTAAGTTCTAGATAAGATTTCTGCAGTCTCTCTCTTCTCTATGGAGTAACTTCTCTTCACTTAGGTTTTGAGGAACCCTAGTTCCATGCATTAGGATCTTTCTTGTATGAAGTTTTGGATGCTATATTATGTGATTATAATCGATTGAGGCATGATTTATTGAGTCAATTGAATCCTGATCAAATTCTCTTGATTTCTGCTTTAACCTTTGATAGATAAAATCTGATTGGGTTAAGAGAGCTTCCATGATTGATAGTAGTGAATTGGTTGTGCGAGAGTCAGTTAATTCACTGCTTTGTACTGGAATTCATTCCAGTAGTGGAGATCTGTGTGAATCGCCTAAGCAGTCTATCCCGGTGAAGGCTAGTCGCCTGCCGGGTATTCTGTCTAAGAGGGTTTGGTCAGCTTAAGAGATTCCAAGCTAATTTAGGATCTTCCGCAGTTTAATCAATAGTAGATCAACCAAAGGTAACTACAACTTAGATCTAATTGAGGAGCTAGGGGGAATCATACCTAAGTGAGTTCCCAACTTGTAATTAGTAGTTTAGCCTTAGTTTAGTTAGTATAGTAGTTTAGTAAATCAATCATTAATCTGGTTTGCTAGATAATGAACTGAAGCTGAGTAATAGTAACTCTAGAGACCCGTGGATTCGATATTTATTACTTGTGACATTATACTGTAGTCCCTTTCATTGGTTACACTTGGCCATTATTAGGAGTTGTGTCGTAGCGTGTCATATGTCAAGTGGTGGGGAGCTCGGGGTGACCACTTCTTTCTTTCTTCTTTCTGCCGGTGCTGCTTGTGGAGGGTTTAAATGGATGGGGATGAGAAATTGGGAGGGGGTTAATGGTTGGGTGAGAAGCCGATGGGTGGGTGGGGGAATTAACGGTTGGTTTTTAAAATATTTATTTGGGTTAATTTAAAGATTTATTAATATTTTTTTAATTATAAAGATCCTCTTAAGTAAAGATGTTACTAGTTTGATCAGACTACTTCGTTTATTGCTGGTTGAATCTAACCCAAAGATCGGGGTGTTATATGCATGCCTTGTGGAAAAGGCGACTAAGATTCGATTCTTGTTCTGAGAACATGTTGAGGATGATAGATAAGCCTACCGAAGTTTGGAAAGAGCTGGTGCATGTCAAAGAAAGATGACAGTCATGAAGGAGGGGGTTCAATATTGTGTATCATATCTATTTCCTCTGAAGCTATTTTGAGGCTAAAATGAAGTATTTTTAGGCTCGAAGGAAGTTTAAAGAGCCAGAGAGTAAATAGAGACAGGCTGATTCTAATGTTGACCTTGTAGTTCACAGATTCTGCCCATTCTCTAAGTGAAGATCAACAGAGATATGTAAATGTTATCAAGTTTGTATATTGGCTGATTGAGTTCAAGGGTGCAATGACACATAAACAGCTTGTGGATCACCAAATTACACTCTTGGATTTATGGCATACATGACTAGGCCATCCATATTTTGATAAACTTAGTCGTATTAAAGATTTTATGGGTTGTAATTTTTCATCTCCGAAGTCTTCTATTTGGGATTCTTGTTTGAGGGTTAAACAAGCACGGACAACTTATTGAAATGTGAGTTGCGCACCCGCTCATGATCTTTGCGCTGATCCTTATCGTCCCGGGCTTGAAACACGGTCGAATCCATAATAGGCAAAGTGAGTTGGTGATGACCATATGTTTTTCCTCTGCCGAAACCATCTAGTACCAATGAGATATCTTAGGCGTGGGCTTCGTGCTCAGAATCTGATAGCGCACCACTGAATACACCTCATCAAGCCCCATCAAGAACTCAAAAGAGGTTTTTAATATCCAGCTTGTTTGAGAATATCGAGTCGAATCACATGAACAAGATCCGTAGTTACAACCACCACACGGGCAATGCTATGCTCCTCCTATTAACGGCATCTCATCCCAAATTGAGTGAAGCTTAGTATAGAAAGCTTAAACAAAAAGTTTGTCCAAACAAAGGGTGCTAATCGTGCGACAGAGCTCATATGAGGGTTGGGATTATCCTTTGCAGAAGCGACGATGAAAATTCGCCTAGATAGCCTGCACCATCATCCCCGTTCGAATGATATTGCACACCTCTCGTGTCATCATTGTCTTTAACCACCCCCTTCATTGTCGCATCACACCTGTCCCATGCTTCTTGACGTTGAGTCGAGCCAGCCTTGGCGCGAGGGAAAGAGCCGTCCACAAAAAGCCAATTTATTTTTGATTATGAGGGTTCGTGTAATTTGTTCACCCATTCTCCATAGCTAGAGTCGTTCAACAAATTGCTACCAAACACTTGTGCAAGACTCTCTTACGGATGCAAATAGAGGGGGATAGCTGATTGGAATTACACCATTGTCGAGGAGACCCTTAGGTTTTTCGCTACTACTCTCTTCTTTTTGCTTGCTCATGCTGAAGTGAATAGAACGATATGAATCGTACTACTATGATACCATGTAGGAATTAACGATTATGAAAAAGTGTTAATAACATACAAAGATTTACATAGTTACCCCGAATATCTGGACTCCAGAGAGCATAGCTCTCAATATCAAAATCACTTATATTTTGGGTTCGATGAAAGTCTTGTCAAAATGAAAGTCTGACATGCTCTCTTAGCTCTAGAGCTCGACCAAACTATATACTTATATCCTTCCACTCTAAACACAGATATCGGGTAGGATTAGGGATGGCAACAAAACCCGAACCCACGGGTACCCACCCGACCCAACCCGGTCAACGCGGGTAAAACCCGTGTTGACGAGTTTTGGGCCGGGTTTGGGTTTAAACCCGCTACACTATTCACCGGGTCGGGTTGGGTTTGGGTTTAGGTAAACCCGCCCCATGGGTACCCGCCCACACAAATATAATTAATTTCCCGGTATATTTAATATTCTAAATAATATATCTTCCTTAAACAACTAATATTCTTTATGTTTGTATGTTTGTGGAGACATGTATAATTTGTTCTTTCTAATTGTTTAGAATGAAGTTGATATTATGAAGTGAAGAATGAAGAAATTTAGTTGATGAGGAAGAAACTTTCAATTAATCTTATTGTTTATAGATGTTTATCTTTAATTTTGAACAATTTGTATTGATCATTTGCGGTTTGCTTGTATGCTCTAGATTTGTGTTTTTTGTATGATTAATTTATATGAGAAAATTGATGTTAAACTTTTATTTTGAAAGAAACTTGTTATTGTAAATTTTTTACTAGAAAAACCCACGGGTACCCATGAACCCGCGGATACCCAGCGAGTTGGGTTGGGTTTGAGTTTTTCAAATCCAACGGATTTTACCCCAGTTTTTTTGGCGGATAAACCCATGAATTTGGGTTTGGGTTTGACAAAACCCGCCCCAACCCGATCCATTGCCATCCCTAGGTAGGATTACAAAATCCATCACGAAGTTCAGTAAAATAATACATAAACAAGTCCGTTACAAATTTTCACTCCTTTCCCAATTTTCTCCTTGGCCAATGGATTGGAGGTAGAATCGTGTGAGTTTGCACGCAAAAGAAAGAATAAAAATCAATTGCGGCCAAACGACGGCGGAATTGCGCCATCGGCCATCCTGACGGTTAAAACTTAAAAGAGAGGTTAGCTAACTTCCCAGGATTCTGTAACTCCGGAAAAACCGCTCCTTTCCCGTATTTGGTTTCAAGTTTAAACTCTATTTCATCGGGCTCGCTATCTCAAAGCCTTCCACTGCCGAGCTCTCTTTGCTCTTCCCCGATTACAGTCTCTCTCTCCAATCTCCATCCACTACGGAATCGTTCGGAGAAAGACCATGGCGGAAATACTCTCGTCTCTGAGGTCTTTAATGGCTGCTCACTCTCCTCCTCTGGACGCCTTGGTCGTTCCATCTGAAGATTATCATCAGGTCTCTCATCGCGCTATGTGATGCTTAACCTGCCTTAGCTTTCTCATGGGTTCTCTGTTTTATTCTAAAAAGTTCGTTGCTTTTTCGTGTATCAGTGGAATTGATTTGGTTTGCAGAATCGTAATTGCCGTATAGCATTCGTCGCGATTGAGTTTGCTTATCATTAGTCTCTTTTTTTTTTTTTATTGCTGTTATCCACAGAGCGAGTATGTGTCTGCAAGGGATAAGAGGCGCGAATTCGTTTCAGGTTTTACTGGAAGCGCTGGTCAGTCTAAACAACTTCACTACATATCCTTTCAGTTAAAGATGTTTTCTTTTTTCGGTTTCTGAACTGTTTGGATTCTTTTCTGAGGCGCGATCATAGGTTTCGATGATTCTGATTGTGTTGTGAAGTTTGTAGGGGATGGCAATCATGGTTGGAATCTCTCTTTTTTTGAATGGATAGTTTCATAGTCACTTTGAAGGAGCATTCTCTTTCCATGCTAAATTGCATTTGTGTTCAATTCCATACGTTGACTTGTTGCCGTGGAATTTCTGCACATTGATGCGCTTTTTGAATCTCGTGTCTGAAGTGAGAGTGCTTTGACTCCCCTTTGATGCATATCCGAGTTAATTTGAGCTATGATGGATGCCGTGTAATTTGCTTGGATTTTGTCCAGGTTTGGCGCTTATCACAAAGGATGAGGCAAGGTTATGGACAGATGGGCGGTACTTTCTGCAGGCTGAGCAACAACTGAGTGATGAATGGACACTTATGCGTATGGCCGAGGATCCTGCTGTGGATGTCTGGATGGCTGAGGTGGGCCTCCATTCTTGCTTGCTTGTATTAGGAAGCTGTTGTATGGATTATGAGCATGCTCTCTTTAATACATTCTCCAATGTTCTACTCTTTCGCTATGTCCTTCAATGAACACTGCCGATCTACTTAATTAATGGTCTTTCCCCCGCATGATCCATGTGTCTGTTATCTAGAATCTACCAGAGGAAGCTGCTGTTGGTGTCAATCCATGGTGTATATCAGCAGACACTGCCCGCAGATGGAAGTCTGCGTTTTCAAAGAAACATCAGAAGCTAGTCCCAACTGCTACGGACTTGGTAGACGAGATCTGGAAAAATCGGCCAGCAGATGAAGCAAATACAGTTGTTGTCCAGCCGCTGGAGTTTACTGGTCGTTCAGTTGCAGAAAAGCTGTATGATTTGAGAGGGAAGTTGAAAGCTTCAAATGCTCGTGGTATTATTATTACCACCCTTGATCAGGTGAAAGTCATGCTCTTAGAAACTCGAGTTATACGCTATCTTTGTCTTCCAAAGTACAAAGTTTTTTAGTGCTGCTGCTGTTATTGCAGGTTGCCTGGTTGTATAATATCCGAGGAAGTGATGTCCCCTACTGTCCAGTTGTTCATGCATTTGCTCTCGTAACTCTCCAGTCTGCTTTCCTTTATGTCGACAGAAGGAAGGTGTCTTCTGAGGTCAGTTGCTTGTAGCATCTTTCAATCCTGGATTATTTGTTGGATTTTAAGGAGGGGAGGTTATGTACCTCAGTAAATTTGAGGCTGAAGATTTCATTCTCCTGATTATATTCTTGAAGAAATACTTTTATCTAGCCAGCCTCAGACTAATAAATACACTTGTCTATTTTCGTGTGCATTTTCATGCAGGTAAACTCGTATATGGAAGAGAATGCAATAGAAGTCCGGGACTACACTGCAGTGAGCTCAGACGTTGCACTGCTTGCATCTGGTCAGCTCGACTCAGTGAGTACTATCAATCAAAAGCCTAAGGCCGAGACAGTTGGAAATGGTACAACTGAAGCGGAAGGGCATGGGGTTGACCTTGTGTGGGTTGATGCTTCCTCTTGCTCCTATGCTTTGTATTCAAAACTGAATCTGGAGAAAGTGGTCCAACAACAGTCACCGTTGTCCCTTGCAAAAGCATTGAAGGTTTGTATACCTACTTGTCATTCCAATAATTTTTTTGTGCAGAGTGATATTGCGAGATGTAATATTACAATGTTATGATGATTGATTTTTGTTGCTCGAAGCTGTTCATGTAATAAGCACAATTATGAACAATTCTTTGCATTCTAATGGATTCAATTGTTTTTGTAGAACCCAGTTGAGTTGGATGGCTTGAGAAAGGCACACATACGGGATGGTGCTGCTGTCGTCCAATATCTTGTCTGGTTGGATAAGCAGGTATAGTCCAAGATCAAGGCTCTCGTGCCATAAAGAGTTGGTGCACCTCAATATTGGATTCTCTGGTTGGCTTCAAATATTGCACTCACCTGATCTTGCTCGTGCAGATGCAAGATATGTATGGGGCTTCTGGTTACTTCTTGGAAGGGGAGGCAGACAAGAAGAAAAAAGATTTGTGAGTTGCATTGACTGTTACTTCCAAAGAATTGTCTTGGCAAATTTTGCATCTTAATTCGGAAAACTGTTGGTTGAAAAGAAGAGTATAATGTTAAGATCATTATGTTCGCAACTGGAGTAGCTTTTTTCTTTCAAACTTGGCTTGCACTCATAAACAAAATAAGAAACTACACCAATAATCCATGGTGAATTCTGATTCCCCTATGCTTTGCCTTGTCTGGGTTTTGTACTGGCAAATTTAGTTGTTCGGAAATTCTTGCATTTTCATGTTGTTGTCATGGAAGCATATTGTGACAACTTGAATGTACTCTTGCAGGAGAACTACAAAACTGACAGAGGTGACTGTTAGCGACAAGCTGGAGAGCTTTAGGGCATCAAAAGAGGCATGTTCCACAAATTACTTTAGCAAGGAAGTGTGTCAGTAATATCATTATGTTTGACATGACTATCTTTTTTGTTCTGGTTGTACTTGCAGCATTTTAGAGGCTTGAGTTTCCCTACAATCTCTTCAGTTGGTCCAAATGCAGCAATCATCCATTACGGGCCTCAGCCTGAAACATGTGCTGAAGTCGACCCAGACAAGATCTACCTGTTTGATTCTGGAGCACAGGTTTGCATGACTTTTCGTTCTTTTTTGCGGTTTAACAGAATCACCATTTCGTATTTAATAATCTCATTGCTTGATGACATTCAATATTCTATTTATCTTCTTTTTTGGGATCAATGAAGTATTTGGATGGGACAACTGACATAACCCGTACAGTACATTTTGGCGTCCCATCTACACACGAGAAAGCGTGCTACACTGCGGTATATTGCTATAGTTAATTACTACATTGGAACTTCCTTTCCTCTGTTCTTGCGTTCCGTACTGATAAACTTCACACAGGTTCTCAAGGGTCATATTGGTCTGGGTAATGCGAGATTTCCTAATGGAACCAATGGTATCTCAGCTCAGATATCTCCTCTCCTCTTCTGATTTTTCTTGACTTTGTGCTTGCAGTATCTATGCAGTTATTGTGTTGATTGTGTGTTTTCCTTTTTCATATTAAGGTCACGCCCTCGACATTCTTGCTCGAATTCCCTTGTGGAAGAGTGGTCTTGATTATCGCCACGGTACTGGCCATGGAATCGGATCGTTTCTATTTGTTCATGAAGGTAAAACCACTAACAACAGATAGCAATTGCCTTTTCTTGACTTAACACATTCTTGAGAAATTAAACTGTACTCTTCCCCATATTCTACATTATGCAGGTCCTCATCAAATCAGTTTTAGGCCATCAGCTCGCAACGTTCCAATCCAAGCTTCCATGACAGTAACCGATGGTTAGTCTGAGTAGTGCCACCAGCAACCATGACACTCTTCTTATTTTGTCACAGAAAATCTGAGCAGAAATTAGAGTTTTGAATATTGCCATGTATTCTCTTGTGAGACAGAACCTGGATACTATGAGGATGGCAACTTTGGGATAAGACTGGAGAATGTGCTTGTTGTCAACGAAGCTGATACCAAATTCAATTTCGGTGACAAGGGCTACTTGGAATTTGAGCACATAACATGGGTAAGACTCAAAAGTTTGCATTTTTCCTTTTTCCTGTCAACAATTTGCGGCCCCATTGATTTGCTTATCATCTCTTGCATTTCGTTGTGCAGGCGCCGTATCAGAGAAAGCTGATCGATGTCAGTCTGCTAGTCCCTGAAGAGATCGAATGGCTGAACACGTACCACTCGAAATGCAACGAGATTCTTGCACCGTATTTGAATGAAAACGAGAGATCGTGGCTAAGCAAGGCTACCGAGCCTGTGTCGGTAGCTTGAGAGTTGTGGATTGGAACGTGACTCCATCACCATCCCAAACCCATTTCATGGTGAAGACATGGAGAATAAGATTATATGAAAACTATGAAACATATGCTTTGCCTTTCGTCGTTACTAGTTTCTGTGAATACAAAGGAACCATAAATTCCTTGTTGACGTAAGTGGTACATGAAAGCAGACCAGCAACCTCGCCGTCAGGCTGGCGGTATTTCGTGTTGCTCTCCTTATTCCTCTGTTGACTATCGCTATTCCTCTCGTTATTCCTTCTGCTCCTTACCGTCGACCTTACCATGTTCCACAACGTCATTTCGAATAGAATTAGTTGTTAATTACGTGTTGATCAAGAATTAGTAATTAATTAAAGAGCTAGCTCATGTTCAAGTCAAACGGCTGGACTGACATCATATCAGCTAGATAGGAAACATTATTCACGATAATATTTGAATTATCTTTTAATTTAGTAATCAAGTTAATCTATTCTTAGATAAATGATCATTTCATCCAACACTATTTCTTGTTTTTCATGGTATAAGAAAATAATTAGGGCATTCAAAATTCTTGAATGGGGGTTATTTTATTATTTAAGTTAATCTATTCTCAGATAAATTATCATTTCATTCCATTATATATTTTTTTTCATGGTATAAGAAAATAATTAGGGCATTCAACATTCTTGCATGAGGTTGTAAGGTTGAATAGGATTTGAATTACTTGTCTTGGTTTAACTGAAAATAATTAAAATGGCAAGCCCAATGTAAATGTATTTTTAGAAGAACTACCTCCAAATATATTTTTATAATCATACATTCTGTATATCATGATTCACGATGAATATTTTTCTTCTCGAGACACATTTTAAGCTCAAATTTTCTCATTTTACCAAACACAATGAAACTTTGATCGTTTATAAGTTCGGTGTGACACCTATTATTACAATAGTACATAATGACATTTATGCTGAGTCGGTTTAATTATTATGCACATATAAAAAAATTTCAGAAAAATAACCTAGCTCAACATTTAGGATTAATTCTCAAAATAGTTAGGTGAACTATCTCCTAACCTTTCTAGTTTCTACTATAGTCGAAAGGTTGGTCTAATCGTAATTTGAAGATAATAACATCAACTGCACTCTAGATCCAAACCTAGCAACCAACAATCACCATTATAAATAAAAAAAAAATAGCAAGAAAGAAATCATCCCACTCTACTCAAATCTCAGTACAAACTGGTTATGGATAACCATATGTCTTAAACTAATTAAAAATCCTTAATTTTTTTATATTAAAGAGAGTTCAAGTAAGAGTGTCAAAGATCTAAAAACATAATATATTCCACCATACACTATATTATAATTATATGAGAAAGATAGGGTCAAAAAAGATAGGGTACAAAATTCAATATAGATCCGTTCATGTTAATCACTTTTAACGCCCTAAATTAATTTCACAGATTCAACAAAAAGATAATACACTTTTCTAATCCCCTATTTTTCTCAATCAGATCCTATTTTATTCTCTTTAATTTCGAATTTTAAAAACATTTCAAAGAAATAACGCATAAATCATGATATACACAATGATATCCATTTTGTTATATTAAAAATTAAAATTTTAAAACAAGTGTTGGTTGTAGTATGATGATAGTGGTATATGCTGACACGTCTCTTTCATTTTAACTAAAACTTTTAAAAGCTTTGTATAAAATTAACTCATTTATAAAGATCTATACAATGTTTTAAGCAAAAATTATATGTTTTATGTAATCTTATCACTATCATATGATATCATGACATCATTTTTTCGCTAAAAGATCCGTACTATCTGATCACTATCATACCAACATCATATCTTTATGGTAAGATTTCATAATATCATTTAACCACTTTCATATCATGATCTTACCCTATGGTAAGACTCACAACACCCTCATACCACTTTTATATCACTATGAAATATCAACATATGACAGTGGTGTTGAGAGATGTTTAATAAATCTTATACCAGAAAATTATTCATGATTTAGTTCGTCTTACGCTTTCAAATTATTTTATTTATAAAAAATTGTTTAGTTCAATAATTTGAGTTTTTGGGAGAGGTTCAATAATATATCTTACACTATTTACTAACATACCCCTTGTAAGAATGTTAACTTGTATAGAATTGAAGTTCATACAAATCTAAATGCTATGTGTTTACTAAATGTGACCGCCAAGATTAAAAATAAAACTTATCGATCAATTAATTCTCAATTAGGCACACCCGAATTCTCGATATCAATTAATTATAATACCTAATTAAACTATTTAACTACCAAGCCAAGGTGGGGCCCGGCCTCCGGTGATGCACCCCTTGACAGTTAACACTCTCACTCCGCCCCTGATGGCCTATACGATAGAGTGGATATTATGCACCTTAAATTAAAAGTAGTCTTTAACATCAAATTATGGGTTGTAAGTACAATATCTTCCTTTAACGTTCCAACATCCACTTCTATGATTTTTAAATAAAATATAACTATGTATTTGGGAAACATTATCAAACATATCAATATGTTAAAATTTATATCCAAAAACCATCAATCACGATTGAACTGTGCTTCGAATGACCTAACCTTAACATAATGAGAGGAAAAAGTTAGTTTTGCCTCTTCGTTTATTTCTTGAAGTCTTATTAAAGTGAAATTATTAGGAGTATTGTGCTATACAAAAGAAATCAAAATATGTTAAGTGGAATTAAAAGAAATCAAAATAATTATAAAGTACATAGGTATTTTTATTGAAAGAAAGAAACCCGCCGCATGCCCGTGTACTGTACACACAGACACCTTTTACTGTCCATTGTGACTGAGATTTACTGTTTCAAACTGGCGTGTCCTTCGGTGTGGGCTGGAGTTGGGTGAGGCCTCATTAGGATCTGGCGTGGGATTTGGCGGGCTCTGGGGTCTCAGTCGGTGTGGGACTGGTCGTTGGCTTCTGGTTGGCCTTAGTTGCGGTCGTTTGGTGGCCCCGACGCGCGTTGGTCATCAGAGATCGATATTTGACTTTGGCCCGAGCGGGCACGCGTATCGAGGGTTTTTCGGTTACTCTGTGGGTGTTCTGCTGGGTAGGGATCGTTGAGTGGTGGGAGATCTGGCGGGTTTGGGAGAGACTGTGCTGGGAGATGGGATAGCTCAGAGATGGTGGGCCACGAGAGGGACTGAAAAGTTGATTGAAAGGAGTTGTGTTGCTCAGTATCTCTGCATTGGGGTCGTTTGGTGGCTCTGACGCGCGTTGTTCATCAGAGATCTATATGCTGCTTTGGCTCAAGCGGGTGCGTGGATCGAGGCTTATTCAGTTGCTTTGGGTGTTCTGCTGGGGAGGGATCATTGAGCGGTGGGAGATCTGGCGGGTTTGTGGATGTGTGGATGAGAGTGACATGCCTGGACAGTGGAGAGGTGGGTCGTTCGAGAAACAGAAAAGGGTTTTCTAGATACAGAGAGATACCTTGACATGCTTTTTCTCTACTGTATGAAAAGACCGGTTTTTGGTGTCTCTGGGAGGGCTTGGAAAGTCCTTGCGTTGTTCGACGCTGAGAGAGGCTATTACTGTTTTGTGCAGGCTTAGGCATTAATTAATTGAGAGGATCTGTTTCTTTTCTTTTTCTTCAGCTTGGTGCTTAAAGAAAACTTTGCTTCTCTTTAGCATGTTACTCTCTCCCCTTTTGTTATTCAACTCTCCGACTGCTCTCTCTCTCTCTCTCCCTCGGTGTCCTCTCTGCGTTGGGATTTCTCATCTCTCTTCTTGGGAGAAGGGCGGAGTTGAAAGCCACGAAGAAGAAGGTTTGAGAGATCTGGAGGAGATCCAGACCCACTGGAGGACAGTTGAGAGGTCTGGAGAAGATCCAGTTTCGCAGGTTTTGTATTCGTCCCAGGTGATTTAACCGTCTCTCTATGTTGAGTTTGCTTTTCTCTTTTTGCAAGTCTCTTAATCGTTTGGATCTTGTGTTTCTGTTTGTAATTGCAGGTAGTTGAAAGGATGATTAGCTACTTTTGTTCGCTGGGCCATCTCCGATTTATCGGTATATAATCACATCTTTCTTTTCATCCTTTTGTTTGAGGGATTGTTGGTGATTTTCGGAATCTTAAATCGAGGATTGTTTTATGAGTTGTGTGGATCTGATAGGTTTTTTGCCATTTCGATGAGGATGAAGGGGTTGATTGGATGAGGATTGAGGAGCCCGCCATCTGCTGTTTCCCTGCACCAGTGAGGATGAAGAATGCGTCGTCTATTTGCGCCTTCTTCTGACCAGTATAGAATACTGACTGTACAGATCCGCAAGTTTTCATAAACTCTTATGCTAAAGGTCGCGTCAACTCCCTGTCTTTCCCTCTACTTTTTTTCTTCTTTTGCGTTTTAGGTTTGTTGTGATCATTGTTGTTACGTTACCACCTTTGTGGGTTTCTCCGGTTTTTTTGAGTTTGGGCCGGATTTTCTGCGTGGTGCTGTGCGAAGCTGAGCACGTTGCCCGCGGAGGTCCGATCCTTTCCTCCTCTTTCTCTGGCTGTATTTTCTCGCATACCTTCTTCTCTCTCTGGGCTTCTGATACGAGACAGGGATTTGACTCGACCCTCCTTGAGAAAGAAATGGAAGATCAGTTCTTGGTGGTGGTCTCGAGACGAGAGAGGACTCAGAGGAGACATGGATTTGACTCGACTCTCCTTGAGAAAGAAATGGAAGGTCAGTTGTTGGTGGTGGTCTCGAGACGAGAGAGGACTCAGAGGAGAAAAGTGGCTCCAGTTCCTATCGTGCTTTTCTCAATGTTATGCTTTCAAATTCTTTGAGTGGAAATGGTTTTTGCTAATTTTTTGGGTGAGTTTGGAGCCCACGAGTGATTGTGTTCTTTAGTAGGATTAGAATCCACTCTTACTATTTGTTGGCATTCTTCTCTATAATGTATTTGAATGGTGACCCATGAATTATTGCATGGTGGCAGAACAAGTGTTGCCTTTGCAATTGCTACTATTTTGAATATATGTATAGAGAATTTCACTTTGATCCTTCTATGTTTCCAGATGGGGTGCTTTGAACGATAGGGGAGATGGTTACATTTGGTGGGCGGAGGAACAGTCAGAGCTAGGAAGTGTTAGTGTATCTAATGAACCTCTTTTGTACAAGGAAAGTAGCTAAGTTTTTGTGAGAAGGAACAAAAAGATCTATGTATAGTTAGTGTACGTAGTGTAATGGTGTTGTTTATGTATTTTTATGATGTCGAATATAACGTTGATTGCCTTGATGCACATCTCTCTCCCATGTCACTTATCTTTTGTTTGATATTCAGCTTTTGCAAGTAC